GACCATGTGAGAGGAGGGGGGTGGGCCTGACCCTCACAGGGGAACTTCCCCAGCAGCCTGCAGGAAGGGGGCATGGGCTGGGCGGGGGTCTTCGGCTCAGGTAGACATTAAAGTGGTCCTCAACTGTAAACAGAATTAGGAAGATGAAAACCACCATTTTCAGGGGAGAGACCTTCAGGACCGATTTCATCTTTGCCTGATCATGACACTGGTGCTACGGAGATGAACGAAGCTACCAAAAAGCAGATGACACTTCCTTCATGGGTTCCCCGAGGAGCCAGGCTGAGGGCTGGTCTACACCCCAAATAAGCCTCCATGTGAAATGTTCAGGAAGGGCCAAAGCCAAGCGGATGGCACAGTGACTTCACACTGCGGTTCCTCTTGGACTCTCGTCTCTGCTCCTCCCTTCCACAGATGCACGTGGTCAAGCCCAGATGTCTCCATCTGGAGTCTGAGGTCGGGATTTTCAGGGGCAGCCACCCTTTGCCTCCTGCTCTCCCTGCAGGCAGCTGGAGGGAGGAGGCAGAACAGAGAACTAAAGGTCATCAGTGATAATGGCCAAGGGAACCATGTCACCTACGTGGCCTTCGTGTTCAAGATGCTTAACTGAATCTGATCCTGAGGAAAGAGATATGTACAGACTTTTTAGGAGACAACTGGCCTATGTTCGCTAAAAATGTCAATACTTAAGAAGGACGGGAAAAAACCAGGGGTGGTGGGACTCTCCTCCATCATGGGAGATGGGAGAGGCACACCAAAGCACCGTGCAGTGCTGGGCTTACAAAAATGTTCCCAAGGGCTGGCCCGTGGCTCACTCGGGAGAGCGTGGTGCTGACAATACCAAGTCAAGGGTTAAGATCCCCTTACTGGGCATCTTTTAAAAACAAACAAATAAAAAACCAAAAATGTTCTCAAGATGTCATTGGGACAACTGGAAAATCTGGCTGTGGACAATATATTAGATAATATTGTTGCAATAATATTAAATTTGGGGGATGTTAACGGGCTGAGTTTTGTGGCAAAATGTCGTTCTCAGGAGACACGTGTGGAAGTATGTAGGCATAAAGTGTTCTGATGACCACACCTATTTTCATGTTTCAGGAAAGCATGTGTGTGCATGCGTGTGAAAAGAGACAGAGATAGAAATGTGTGCACAGGACCAAAAAAGTGTCAAAATATTGCCTCCATGTAATTCCAGGCTGAGAGCTTACAGTGTCCACAAACTATTCTTTCACCCTCTCAGTGATTTGAAATCTTTCAAAGTTAAAGTTGAAGGAAAAAAGGTCATTTCCCCAGCCTACTTTCAACTGTAATTGAGAAACTGTTCACCGTTCGTGGGGACAAAGCCGCCTTGCTGACTCGTACAGCGCTGACTCAACACTGCTGCTCCTGCCGGCTGCCTGCCCTGGTTGCCCACGGCAGCAGCCCGCTCCCGGCACACTCCTGGGCTCACTCGGGGATGCACGGCGGGCAGGTGGCAGCTGTGCTGGTGGACGGCTGTGCTACGAGAGACCACAGCACACAGTGGGTCCTTTTCAGGGTTTATTTCATCTGCTAACATTCATTCTCGACCTAGACAGAAACAATTGGATGATTATGACTTGCTTTTCCATCATCAACTCATTTTTTTTGTATGAATGACCCAAGATTTCTTCTCAACACTTTTTTAATAAGAAGCTATAAATAAATAAAGCTTTAAATGCTCCTGGGTTCAAGTGAAGCAGTTCCAGTTGCCAAAAATTTCACAGACTCGTTGCTCAGACAATTCTGCCGTCCCTGGCTTTGCCCTCCAGGAGGGGATGTTTGCAGGTCTGTGGGGGGTGCCTGGAAACCGACCTGTAAGCTCGCTGGGTGTTCGCTTCTGTCCTCTCAGTCTCTGGGTGGGCAGAGTCCTAGAGACGAGTGGGGCCACCCAGTCCTGGAGCTCTGGCCCACAGTATCCTAGCAGTGCTGCAGGCACAAGGGACTTTCACCCCAAAGCAGGTGGCCTGAATGGGAAGTGCCGGGCTGGACAATCAAGCGGTGGTCACTCCCAGCTGCCACTGTCTCTGGGCACCTTGGCCTGGCACTGGCTGGGTTGGGACTGCTTTCCGAATGCAGCAAAGAGACCATGAGGAGACCTGTGCTTCCATGTGAAACAGGATGGCGGGGCATAAGTTAAAACATATTCCAATATGTACAAAACAGATCCTGCGCTTGGGCCTGCACACACAGGAAGCCCATGGCAAGGCTATGGCACCCCACGTGGTTTGTGCAAGACCCCAGGGCTCCCCTGACACATCCCACCCTCCTCCCAGAAACACACCCACCCCAAATGACAAGCATCAGAGCAGATTCCCCCCACATTGACCTTGATCTCCCTTTGAAAGAGCCACGCCACTAAGTCATCTCAGCACTGCCTCCTCAGTGTGATGTACCACCCAGGAGGTGGCCTCGGCTGGGCTGGTACGGTGCCCACGCTGGCCTGCCGACCACCCTGCCTTTGGATCCTAACGCAAACTGGCCAGTGTAGAAAGCCTGGGGTGTGCTCATGCCAGACAAGTAGGGTGAGAGCTGCTCCCTCCTGGGTAGGAACCTTGTCTGATGGCACGCCAGCTTTCCCTGTGCTACGGGAGGTCTCTCACTCCTATGTGTCTGGTGACCTTCCCCTCACTCCATGTGGGACAGCTGGGGTGGCTGAGTGAAGCCTGGGGCAGGGATGAGGCCCCTGGCGGGCTCTGCCCCACGAAGCTGGTGCCCTTGCCAGCCCCTCGCTGGGGGCCTGCAAAGCCCGCTGCCCTACTTCCGAGTCAGCCTGCAGCCCCTGGGCACATGCAGTTACTCTCTCGAGAGGCCAGGGTGTCTGTGACCTTCGGTGTAGGCACAGGGCAAGAGCTTACAACAAATATGCATCATGGCTTTTAATGGGGCCACTGGCCAGCCTGTGGGTCTGCTGGGGACAGGGCTGACCAGACTTCGGGGGGGAGGGGCTGAGTATCTGGGTAGCAGGAGGCCACCTAGAACTGTTTCTTCCAGCCCTAGCTGAGAACCTGGAAGCCTACGTCCCCTTCCTGGCCACCCAGAACCACCTGTGAGACACCCCAGGGCCTGGCTCATGGGCAGCAGCTGTGGTCCATGTTCCAGCCCCTGGAAGCATGATTGTACTTTAAACATGGGGTGGTGGGAGCAGTGGTATATGAGCCCTTGATAAATGTGCCAGTGATGGGGCTTGGGCTGGGGACAGCCTGCGAACAAATCACAGAGAATCAGAGAGAATGGGACATGGGTAGTTCTGGGTCCCCGCCCCTTCCTGTCTGAGCCTGGTCTGCCTGGGTGGTCACCCCAAAGGCCAGGTGGGGGAAGGGCTCTGGAACAGGTGGCAGCAGCCCTGGCCACAGCTTTTCCACTCCTGGGACGCACTCTGCCCTAGGAAGGCGGGCAGTGCAGTTGGGGCCCTCTCCTCCCGGCCATGGGGCGGGGGTCCCAGGAGGTCTGCTTTGGTCTCCTGACACAGAGCGTGAAGCTGGATGTACTGTGGGTTTTGGCTGTGGGCCAGAGAGGGGAGTGAGCTTCCCAGGGGCTGGACTTGAGTCTTCTCTGCCTCAGATATGGTGGGCCCTGATCTCGAAGCAGCTACAGATGGTGAGCCAGGAGCTCCAGTCCTGAGGATGCCTCCAAGGGCTGCTTGAGTTCTCAGGAGAGGGGGCCTCCCAGGCCCAGGGGCACTAGGGTCACCAGGGTTGAGGGGCTGGAGCTGGGGAAGGGGCTTAGAGCTGGTCTCTAACTCCTGCTGGCCTGGACAGAGGGGCTGCGGGTGTGTGCATAGCTGGTGTGAGGTGCTCCTGGCCCATCAGGTCCACTCTCCATCGTTTGTCTCTTCTTCAAACCTTGGGCTGCAGTGACAGTGACATGGGGGCCGGGGGAGCAGGAAGGTCACCTGCCCAGAGGCCCCGCCATGCCCAGGACATCCTTCAAGTAGGCTTTCCTCTGACCCCTGGCCTGGGAGAAAGAGCAGGAGCCGCCCGCGCCCGGCCCCACCACTTCCCCGCTCTGTTTGCTTCCGCGGAGCAGGTTTGGGACTCTCCTCCCACAACAGTCTCGCGCAGCCTGCTTGTGTGTTGGTGTCTGTCTGATCTCACCCAGCCCTGAGAGGCCCCTACGCGGCTGCCGTCACTACCACTTCTCGATGATGTGGCTCATGTAGTCCTCGGTGGGCACGCGGCCCGGCTCCTCCGCGTCCTCCCGCGGCAGCGCCTCCTTGGCGCGGTGCAGCAGGCGCTCCTCGCGGCTCTTGAGGCGCTGCTCCCTGCGCTCCAGCTGCCGCTTGTACTGGTAGCGCTGCTGGAAGAGGTCCTTGGCGTAGTCGTAGAGCTGCATGTCGAGGTCGTTGAGCTCCTCGATGCGCCGGATGGTGTCCTCGTCCACCTCCACGCCGCCCGCCCGCGTGCTGTTGTACTGCATGAAGGGCCGGATGAACTTGAGGTTGAACGTCCGCTCGAACAGGTACTGCGTCTTGCGCTGGAACTCGGTCAGGCCGAAGAAGGCCATGCCCCGCAGGTTCTTCTTGGCGCTCTCCAGCAGCAGCTGGGCCCGCTTGGCCTCGGGGATGAAGGACAGGTTGTAGCAGCCCACCAGGCTCAGGTCGGCCAGCATGCGCACCTGCCGGTTGTTGGCCAGGTTGTACGGGCAGTCCATGAACTCCTGCAGGGTGCAGCCCGACCAGTCCGTGCCCTCGTAGCAGGGTGGCAGCTCCTCGGGCGTGGGCGTGCGCCCGTCGCACATGTGCAGCGACGTCTTCCATGTGGCCCCCCGCTGCACGTGCCGCCACTCGCTCAGGTAGCGGGACACGGGGTCTCGCAGCAGGGTGATGTAGTAGAACTTCCTGCAACGAGACCAGAGACAGGAGGTGAGGCTGGGGCCACTACGGGGCGTGAAGAGAGGGGGTCCCCATGGCACAGGTCTCTGCTGTGGGACCCTGGACAAGCAGCTTCACCTCTGATACCCACCATCATGTTTAGCTCTCCAAACAGCCATTTCTGAAGGAGAAAACTTGGAACCAGAGATGGGCAGGAACCTGCCAAGGGCACACCAAGTGTGACCACCACAGTCCCCTGTGGTGCCTGGCCTGGGTTCCCTTCTGCCCATTGGCTCCTCAGGAAGGACGTCCTGATTTTCCCCTGCTGGGGGCGGAGCTGCCAAACACTTCCTACCCAGGGCGGCCGCAAAGCCTTAGCTGCCTGGACCTGTGAGAGCTGTCCGCAGCACAGGCTGTGCTGTCCAAGGAGCCGCTCAGCAGGGGCAGGGGGAGCTGGGGGCCGTGAGAGCCGCCACAGTCGCAGGCCACAGGGTCCTGCCCACACCAGGGTCTGGCTTAGGTCTGGTGGTGGAGGGGTGCCAGCAGACTGTCCAGCCCAGGACCCCAGGGGAAGCCATACTTTGTAGTTTTTATCAACTCCCAGAATTGTTCCGACTCCACAAAGTTGGCCATCCTCTGAGGCTAATGTCCTGTGCTGTACGTAAGGGTGAAATGACTCAAGGAAGGCTATCCTCTCCCTGGCCCTGAGCAGCAGGCATTCAGGATGATCCGTGTCCCCGCCAGGCATGTGGACAGGTGAGCAACATATGGCAAAACGTGACACGGACCATGGGCCGCCTGTCAGATATGCCAGCAACGGGCCCTGGGTGTGTGTGCACGTGTGTGTTGTGTGTATGCCAACCCCGGGGGTCAGCAGAGTTGTTCTTGGACTCCTCCAGGGCTGGCTCCTCTGGGCAGGGCAGATGAGCCCCAGGACAAGGAGGACTGGGGCCTGGGGCAGGCAGCCTAGAATGTCCTCAGGTGTGGGTGGCAGGAGCCCACTGGGCCCCTCACACCTTTCTTGGCAGGTCTGGGAAGACCTCTCCCATGCCCAGCACTCCCAGACGGCGACATAGAAGCATGCCTACACTGTTCCCTGCCTCGTCAAGGCTCCATGAGAGCACACAATCATCTGTTATCCTCACAGTGCCCTGTGGGAAAGCCACGGGGGCACAAAGCCTCTGTCTGTGTCACTGTCCTGAACTGAACACACATCTCTCGGGCGTAAGGAGTCCTAGTAAGGTGGTGGATACCACTGCAGCCACCCCAGCCTATGAGGGCATGTCCAGAAGACCCCAGGGGCAGAAGTCCTGAAGGAGGGGTAGCCAGCTGATGGCTTTGGGGCAGACAGCCAGGCCGGCCCTACGCTGTGCAGGGTTTGTCAAGGAGGAGACAGGGCAGCTGACGTTTGTGTGGCGCTGCCTGTGGCCCCCCACCAGCTGGCAGACCCAGGCCCTGCCCTCAAGGGTCTCCCGGCAGACAGTGGGGAGGGAGAGGACCTGGGCAGAGGGCACCCCAGGCCAAGGGCCCTCCAAGGGGTGCCCGAGTTGTGGGGATGGGAGGTCTGCTTGTCACGTCCTCTCTGGAGGTCAGAGGGCAGCTGCAGCCCTCAGGGACTGGATGTGGACAAGGCCCATCTGGCCTGTGCCTGAGACCAATGCACCCTGCTCCTGCTGTGCCTCCAGGTGGCCTGAATCCCTTGGAAGCCATCTGGGGACCTCGCTGTCAGGTGCCCACTAGGACTAGGCCGATGATGGCCCCTGGAGTCAAGACACCTGTGTCCTTAGCACTTGGCAGGTGCCAGGTAGCAGGTGCTTCACAAACACCTGTAGAACTAACAGCAAACAAACAAGGGCCAGGAAGGAAGGGCCTGGGGTGTTGGGAGCAAGCATCCACCCTACCCTAGGGCTCACACGACCCCAACTGCTCAGGAGAGAGGTCATCCGCTGCCCTTCTTAGCCAACCTGTGCCCAGGGAGGCTGAGGGCTGCTTGGGCCTCCTCCCCATCCTGTGGGGCCCTGACCACCTATATGGAAACAGACCAGTGTGGGTGGTTTCTCCTGGACACAGAGAACCTGGATGTGATGTGTCAACCAACAGAGACTCATCCACCCCGCCCCAGCCGGCGTCCCTGTGAGCCAAGTCCACGTGGACTTCAACGCAGCCCCAGAGGTAACCTCCGAGGGCCAGGACACACAGTGCACAGAGGGGCAGGCCCTGTCCAGGAAGCACCAGCACCAGCACCCCCACTGGCCAGGAAGTCTCCTCTGCCACTCGGCCACCTTCCTTCACCCGGAGGCCCGCTGGCTGCATCCCCGGGGTCTCCTTCAACCTCCTTATCCCTTCCAGCATTCCATCCATATCCCTACCAGGAGGAGAGGGAGAAGAGGATGGGGAGGGGTGGGACTTGAAGGGACACACGTGGCGGTCTGGGGTCTGTCCAGCTCCTAAGGGCCCTTTGAGAGCCGCCCTTCTTGAGGAAGGCCCATGCTGGGGCTGCCCTGAGACGAATGGCATCCAGCCTGGCTCCAGCCCAGCTCTGGTGTGCACTAGCTGTGGGGCCAATGCCCTCGCCCAAAGCTGCTGGGGTGAAGTGGGATAGCGTGTGCTGCCAGGCCGGCAAGTGGGTCCATGATGCTGCCACGAGCCCCTCTGGCCCTGCCATGCACTGTCACGAGACCCACCAGTGGTTACTGATCCTCCCAGGGATGTCCCCACTGCCTCCAGCACTCTTTCCTGACATTGGTCTGTAAGGGGCCTGGTTACAGCCTCCCTGGACACTGAGGACACGTCCTCATCACATGTCCACTGGCCTCCATATGTGCATGCCCCACATGCTGCCCTCTCCTCCAGCAAACCTAGCTGCCCCCTGGGAGCAGGTGCCAGGCTGGGCACTGCCTACCACCACCTCCTAATGGCTCCAGCTGCTCCAAAATAAAGGGGTGGCACCAGAGGACAGGGTGGAGAGGCCCTGGAGGTCTTGGCCAAGGTGCCCCAGGAGCCGCCTGCTCTCTCCTCCCACGCTCGCTCCTCCTAGGCCACGTGATGGAGAGAGCCTTTTGTGGGTGGTACGGGCTGTGGTCACAGGTGGGTCTGTGGTCTGTGTTCCTCTGGGGGTTGTGTCTGAGGTCGCCCCTCCTCTCGGGGCTGCCTGCTGCTCCCCACAGCTGCCTTCCCCCAGGCCCTGCTCCTGAGCTCCACGTTTGTCTACGTCAGGGCGAAAAGAGCAAGTGTGCTCATGTGTGCCCGGAAGCAGGGAGCAGGAGCAGGGGCAGGGGCAGGGCTCCCCACTCCCAGCAGACAGCATCTGACGTGCTCGAACTGGCTGGGAAAACCTCTCCCCAGAGACCCTGCTCGGGGGGTGCCCTGCACTGGCTGCAGACACCCACCGCTCTGAGCCTCACTCAGGCCCGGCCAGCACTATACTGGGCCCTTGGCAATGCCAGGACACCGGAGGGCAGGAGCGCCTGCCAGGAGGGTCCAGCACACAGCCTCATCTCCTGGCCTCTAGCTAGGGGTGGGGCCCGGGGCACACATGCCCTTCCTCCCCCCTACCCTGGCTTTTCTGCTTCATAGCCACTAACTCAGTGCAGGAGGCCCAAGGCAGGGCAGACGTGGTACCCCCCCACCCCTCGTTCAGTGGCCACAGTCCCACCCTCTGGACTGTTGGGCAGGGGGCCTCTGAAAGGGCAGCCACCTGAAGAGCCTGCATCCAAAGCTGGGCCACCACCTGCTACAATATTGGCCTCTGGTGATAGGCGGGCACGAGGGCCGGCGAGACCCCTGTGCAGATGAGGCAGGCAGGTGGGGCTAGGTGGCCAGTGACAGTAGGGGAGAAGAGGGCTTGGTTTTCAGGGTACAGCCACTCAAATGGCTTGACTTTTTTCTTTACGTGTGTGAATTACTTAAACAAAGGACCCATGAACAATTTACTCTGGTTTCTTAAAATAACTGGGAGGCGAGCTGCTCAAGACAGACCACGAATTTTGAAAACCATCTAAGTCTGGGTCCCTCAGAACATCAGAGGCAGCATTCCCTCCTTCATGTGCCAGCCAGGGGCCTGGCAGACTCAGGCTCCCTGCTGTGAGCGCCCAGGTGCCCCTCCCCTTTGCTCCCAGGCCTCTCTTCTCTGTTACAGCATTCCCTCCTTCATGTGCCAGCCAGGGGCCTGGCAGACTCAGGCTCCCTGCTGTGAGCACCCAGGTGCCCCTCCCCTTTGCTCCCAGGCCTCTCTTCTCTGTTGAGGCGTTCTTTGCACAGGAAGCTCAGCTGGCATCAAACAGGGGCAATGGAGAGGGGAGAGGTGTCCGTGCCCACAGGGCACCCTCCATCTACAAGGCCCGGCGCGACTGAGCCAGGCCGCAAGTGCAGCACCCTCGACGTGGCCCTGACCACCTTGCCTGCCCTTTCTGCACCCTTATCCCAAGCAACCCTTCTGGGACCAAGGCCTCACAGCTTGTGGACAGCTGCTGGAGACCGTCACCAGGAGAGCAGGTATGTACCACATTGATCCTGGTGAGCTGTATTTCATAACAAAATGGTAAAATGAGTCATACACAGACAGGCAGACTCAGCACAATGCTTCCTCTCTGGGGGAGCCTGGGAGCTGACCACAGCCCGAGTCCCTGGGGCTCGTGCTGACCCCACAGCTCCCTGTGCACCACACGGTGCTGAGCAGGGCGGCCTCACTCCCAGCTGTGTCCCTGGCTGCTGGCCTGGCCCAGACAGCAGCAGGGCTTGCCCAGGGCAGCTTGGTGCCCGGGTGGGTGTTAGGATCGGCTATGCTGTGCTTTCTCTGCTCAGGCATCGCCATGCCCTGGGTCCCCCAGACATGGCTTGTGGTGGACACAAAGGGCCACAGACTCTGGAGCCTGACTGCAGGGCCAGCAGCTAAACGTGGGTGTTCCTGCCCCTTTCTGCAAAGGCAACAGCTGAGCCATAGATGGGGTGACCAGCCCCAAGCCACTGTCCACTTCCACATGCTCCTGCCTGGTTGGCGTG